GGTCGCAAGGAGGAGGCAAGCCTCGTGGTGGTGAGAGGTCTGGAGATTGGTCACATTCCTCAGGGCAGTCCAGCTTGGGTGCAGAGGTTCCCTCCAGGGGGATCCCAGCGTCCGGGCTGTGTGCATGTCCAGCAGGTGCCGAGGTATCTGGTGGCGTGGCTGTGTGCTTCTTGCACTTGGCAGGAGACACTCCTGTAGGCTCCTCTGGGGGGTGCATAACAGGAGTGGTGGTAGCGGTGGTTCTCTTCTTTGCAGGCTCTGAAGGGTGTGCAGTTTCCCCAATGGAGGGTGGCTTCTTGGCCTCCGATTTCGACAATTCAGGAACCCTTGAAACACGTTGCCAGAGAGCAAACTTGAGGCAATCTGTCCGCTGCCGGTTAGTTTGCTTTTTAAATGCCTGGCAGTGCGGGCAGGTCTCCATGATGTGCCCCTTGTCGAGGCAGAGGAGGCAGCAAGAGTGGCCATCTGCGGCGGGGAGGTGAGCAGCACACGAGGTACATTGAAAAGCCTTTGGGTCAGCCATGTGATCTGAGAGAGCACGAGGGAGAGACGAAAAAATGACGAAAAAATGGCTGTTTCTTTTCCCTTGCAGAGGAGGAGAAAACTAATGAGGGGAGATCAGTCCTGGAGCAACGGAGATCTCTTTCAGAAGGTAGAGAAAATAAATTTAATTTTTTCTTCACATAAAAGGACACAAAGGAAAGGAAAAAAATGTAGCAATATATAGGAAGAATGCAGAGAGAGATAGAAGAACGTTAGCTAGAGCAGTGGAGGTTCCGATGGCGATGCGACTGCTAGTGTGATCGAAAACAAACTGAGGGACTGGGTGGGAGCCCCCTCCCTTTATCTGAACCTCCGGAAGGGGAGAGCCAGGGCTCCCGCCCACTGAGATACTGAGCTCTGGAAATGTCTCTCTGATCTTGCACGCTGTGACAAAGCCCATGTGTGTGATGCATAGAGAATGCGAAGAAGAATGTTTGTTTTGATTCTAATATGGCCATCTCAGTGTCTGTTTCACATTTCTTTTCAAAGCGCTTTGCTTCTTACTTTTAAGTGCATCAAGTACTTCTGCTCAGCAGTCCACTACAACCTTGATGGACTACAGGTGCTTGTTCTCCTGAATCGGTGCAAAACATCATTATTTGCAAAGGTGCAGACCATACGTTGTCACATCTTGAGTTTAAAAATAGGTAGCAAAATGGGAGCAACAGATGTAAACACTTTGAGTATGCACCTGGCAATCATCGTCAAGAAGGAAATGTATGTAATTGAATTAAGCAATTTGTAGTCATTTCCTGCACTGAATAGCCCTGAGCAGATGCTCAAATGATATAGAAATGATTTGTGTGGGGGAGTAGGATGGGGGGAAAGGTTGCACCTGCTGACCCCAATCCCCATTCTCCCCCTGTTGATTGGAATGTATTCACAGAGCATAGAAACACGGGTGAAAGAGACTCGGTGTGTAGTCCGTACTTTCCATCCAAGCAGTGCACCCACCACTCAAAAACTCAGAGTCCATACTTGTGTTCACGCTGCAATCAGCACACGGAGTTAAGGGTCAGGGGGCCAGCAGCTGCAGTCCTATGCTCCTTCCCCTCCCCACCCATGTAATCACCCCCACCCCCACCCCTGCTTGAAGGTCTGCACAAGGCTAGTGACTGTTATGAAGGACTGAGCTGGACCTCCGTTTTCTTCCAGAAATAGAAAGGCAGGGCTCCAAGCAGTGACGCACAGCCATCTGAACATACAGCTGAAAAAGTGACAAAGGAGTGATTTTACGGAACTACACACTTGCTACTCCACCTCCATCACAAACACACTCTAATAAGCAAACACAATGATGAATTATCTTCTAAAACATTATCTCTGAACTACTGCACTGACAAAGTGACACTGTCAGAAAATGGCCCCCAAAGGGCATCACTTTAGATCCATGAATCACTTTTTCATTTCTATGTTAATAAGCACATAGATCTCATTTCTATTTTTAATTTGGGTCAGTCTCTTTGATGAATATAAATAAGGCAGCAAAGCTAGGGAAAATGAGTATGTCTTTTTCTTCCTTCTCTCCTGCAGCCTTTTGTATCAGGTGGAGGTGGCTATAGTTGACTTTGTGTACAGATTGGATGAATTAATTCACTGCGTCTCAATCCTGTTAAGTCATAAGCCTCCAGTTTGTGATGTCTTGGTAGAGTGAAATGAAATACTGAAGTTGTCCGCACAAGCAAAGGAATGATGTTTGTGCATGATGCACGAGACTGCGCTACAGTGCTCCCTTGCTTAATGCCGTGGAGAACCTAAGCAGAGCCATGCTGGATCAAAACAAGGGTCCATCTAGTCCAGAATTCTCTCTACACAGCAGCCCACCAGCTGCCCTCGGGATCCCACAAGCAAGATATGCATGCAACAGCACCCTCCTGCCCAAGTTCCCCAGCAACTGGTGTACACAGGGATATTGCCTCCCATACTGGAGGCAGCATAAGGTAATCAGTACAACATATAGACATCGCTCAGCTAGCTTCATAACTAGAACCTGAATCTCTCAAGTCCCAGTCAAACACTCTAACCACTAAGCCACACTGGCGCTCACAGACTCTTTGGCTATCAGAGCAGTTATAAAAGTAACATTGCACAAGTTATTAAGATACATTACTTTTCTGAGGAGTATTTAAGGCAAAACATTCTCAATACTTTTCGACACATCCAGTAGTGAATCAATTTTTTTTTTCCCTTTTGCATGTCTGTCTGTCAAAGCCATAATGCTGATGTTGTTAAACCTAGACATCTGAAACTTGTCATGCTTATTAAGGGGGGGTATAGGGTGTGTGCCTGGGGAATGTTGTGGGATTATTTTTCATGCATTGATTAATTTTAATTAATTTATGTTTCTGTGTGTTTGAGGACTGCAGCACCATCTTCAGTCACTAGGTGGCTGAATTCCCTAATCAGCACATGATTTTATAGTCAATACTGTTTGAAGTTAAGGAAAACAGTGGGACAGCATGGTAGGAGCCACGGTTACCAGTGTCTGTTTCACTCAAACAGCCCAAGCGGAATGTGTCCAATTGTTACAGTTGCATAACTCAGTTTGCTGCATCAAGCTATGTACTATTCCAGCCTCTGACAAGCCATGTCCATCCTCTATGCTTAATAAAATATATCAGCATGCATACCTTGGCTGTTGAGTATTAACAAATGCTGCATACTGCAAAAGGAAGAATATGAAGCATGTGGCGGATGAATAAAATTAAAGCCCTCACAGACCTTTTCCATCATAACAGCGATCAGAACAAAGCACCTAGGACTAGCTCCTTCTGTAATCCTTTACTTATTGACAAAGGATAGCTGCTTTTCAGCAGCTGGAGGTATTCTTTTAATTCATAAAGGGCCAGCTTCATTCAGAACCCAGGCAGGTTGATATTCCGAGAACCATAAAGTCAAACAGACAATCTGCTGCTATTGGATCTTGTTTGTTTGTTTGTCTGATACAAACAAGTTGCACTCAAAAAAGTGGCATTGGCAAGTTATGGCTTGGATAGACAGCTATAGCATGACAAGCAGGCTGAAATATTAACATTAGGACCCTGCTCATAACTGTACTGGCTGGAATCCAGAGAAACCTTAACTGAACAATGTGCTTATTATGAAATAGGCCCCTCAGATTTCAGTGAAATTTGATTCTCCAGAGATCAGCACTCTCCTTTCTTATAGAAGGATATAAAAGTTTCATTCTTTCCCACTGAAACAAAAGAGCAAATTTTCGTAACTTGCCAGCTGAGGATACCAACCATGTATTTATTCCTAAGGTGAACAGTCCAGGACATACTGCATCCACTTTGTTGTACTGTGTTGTTTTAACATGACAGACCAGGTTCCCAGCTAAGCATCATAAGCACTCACAAATATCAAGGGCGATATTAAGTGCAAAGAGCTGCAATAAGAGTAGTGTGAAGCCAGCTAGCCTCTGTTCCACTGTAAAGGTCAGATGGATGTTTTGCTCCTATTCCACTGGGTTTCTAGAACTTTACCGCAAATATTTCAGAGGAGATGGTGCTATACGGCATTTCCTGCAAAGGAGGAAATATAAAGGGGGCCTTCATCAGGCCGAATGGGAACCAGGGGCTCACAGCAGAGAAAGCTGGCCTTAAGGAGTGGGGGGAAATCACAGCGATGAATTATTGCTGCTCTTTTAGTTTAAAATATCAGCTATATGGTCTTTTCACCAGATCAAATCAACACTAGTCTGAAATACTTTGCATTCTAAGGGTGAGCAACTTTCAGTATTTGGCCTTATTCCATACAGACCACATCCTAATGTCAAAAGCACTCTGTAAGTGATTAGTACAGACTTTTGGCAAAAGTCATCCATCTCTCCCCTTGCAGCCCTCTGGTTTTGGTACAGGATGGAGAAAAAGGGGTGCCAAAGTGAGAGCAAAGGAGTGGCCTGCAGCCCCCAAGAGATTCCTCTACCATCTCATTATATATTTATTATTAATTATGTTCATTAATTGTACTTATATCCCACCTTTTTCCTACAAGGAAACCAATGCAGCATTCATAATCCTCCTCTCTATTTTCTCCTCACAAGAACCTTGTGAGGTAGGCTAGGCTGAGGGTAAGTGAAAGGCCCAAAGTCATGCAGTGAGCTTCACAGCTGAGCAGGGACTAGAATCTAGATTTCTCAAATGCTAGTTCCACCACACCAACTAGCTCCTTTCCCGCTGCTCAGAAGAAGTTGCCCAGTACTGCTGGTTGCCACTGTGGTACTCCATCTAGTTTTTTGAGCATGCACAAACAAACAAAACGACCCCCTCACACACCTAGGTATATTCTGACATTATCGCTAAACCAGCTAAGACATTTGGATTGGGCAAAAGCCTTTCAGAATCCTGGAGGAGCAAAAAGGACACTTGGTTGTCCTTCAGCAGGAAAAATGCTCTATTGAGCTGCAAACACAGCTAATCATACAGGACTGTGAGCCACTCTCGTGAGGCACTTACATTCCAGTCTATGGTGGCAAAGAAGGGGTGCCGCTTAATTTCTTCAACTCCATCAAGGCCAGCGCCTGCCAAAACAAGACACAGAGAGCATTAAAAGAACGGTTTTGGTGCCAGGTCCTTCTGATGGTTCTCCCACTGAAAAAGATGTGGGTGGTAGAAATGGGGAGGGATGTCTTTTTGGTTGTGGCACCAAAATCATGGAATAGTCTCCAAAGAAAAGTTCTTCACCCACTTTTAAGCATGCACTTAAAGTGAACTGGGCTTTTTAAAAAGTTAGGACCACCACTTAATGTGCTATTTAACACAACTGCTGTGTTGCTTTTGTGTTCTCTGCTTGCTGTTTCCTTGCTGCTTATTATTAACATCTTTTTAAAATTATAATTTGTCCTATTTTGTTGTTGTGCTTTTAAAGAAAGCTGCCTTGAGCATAATCAAGTTTAAAAACATGATATAACTATTGAAAGTAATGAATAAATAAATATGAGAATATTAAATGTATCTCAAAACGATGGTTGTAGCAATAGCTGCAGCCTCTAGTATTGGAGTGTTCCCTTTCCATCTTCCTCCAAAGAAAGTAGGAGTTTGCCTTCAACCAAGCTTGACTATTGTTCCACCAACTCTGAATTGTCCATTCTGACAGTAGTGGCTCTCTAGAATTCCAGGCATGGGATTTTCCTAGACTACCTGGTGCTGTCAAGGATTGAACCCGGGCTTCTGCACACAGAACGTTAGGGCACCGAAGTGCAGTCAGGGTGTTCTGTTTGGAGGCTTCAGAATCTCTGTGTTGTGCCAGGTGTCTAAAAACTACGGCCACATTGAAAGGTTTGAACAGGAATCTTGTGCCACCATCTTGCCTGTGCAGTATCAGGTCAGCTTTACCATGTTTTACCAGTTTGGGCTGTTGTGCAAGTTGGGATAATCCCAGAGAACATCTTGGCTATCACTATCAATGCTCAGTCATTTCCAGAATGGACTACTGTACCATGCTCTGCCTTTGAAAAGGCACAGAATATGCCTGCCTTGCCATTAAGTGGAGTTGGCCGCTTGCACCATGTCATTCTTTATCAAGGTAACGAAAGCCCTATTCATGAGCTCTGATCCAACGTTAATGCACAAGCAAGGGCGGCACACTGACCTTGCCTCCTTCATCTGTTTCCTTCACCTTCTGCATGTGGACGGTGACTTTCTGAATGGGTGGAGGCTCTTCACCTGGTGAAGACCTCTCCCCTTCGAAAAATAATCTTCCAGATGTAGAGAGTAACGGAAAAGGCAATGGATGTGTACAGGGCTCTACTCACACATTTGATCAACACTGGATTGGATCCTCTGAGTACGGTTTACCTTGTTCTGAAACTGACTGCTGGGCCCAAATTAAAGTTCTGGATTTTATTATAGTTTGATGCCTTCTGGATTTTCAAGTGGAAAGGCAAGGTAGAAACATTAATGAATAAATGCATAGTTAAAATTCTATTATATGAGTATACTAACAGATTAGGAAGCACTGAGAACCAGTATAAAGATTAAAGTGCCCAGCTAGGACTGATTTTAAATCCCCATCTCAGCCAGAAAGCTCAGTGGATGCATCTTGTGCTCATCCAGCCTGACAGGATTGTTATCAGGATGAAATGAGCAGTGGTGGTGAACCAAATACATTCCCTGAGGAAAGTCAAGATATAAATGTAATAAAAAAGTACACTTCCAAAACCTATAACCTCCTAACATTCAAGCTGAAAATGTATAAATTTAGTTTCACTCAGCTCCAAATGACAATTAAGACAATGGCATAAGCAGTTCCAGACTCTCCAAAATGTAAGCTCAGGTGTTGTTCAATATGACACAAATAGATTTATGTTGGTTTCTTTTTATTAATTTACTGAAATTTAAAGGCATTTCCTTCTTACCCTTAAAAGACAGTTTGAGTTTGACTTTTCCTGGATAGAATGGAGGGTAGGTTTCTCTAATCACTCATCTACTTTTTTGATTCCATTTGTGTCATGGTTTACTTACATCACCCCGCATCCCTCATTTTAGATATTTTAACTCGTCTGATTCAGCACCATCAACAAAACCAACAGGAGCTCAGAAATAATTAAACAAGTGCTGGATTTGATTGAGAGAGACATATGTAATAGTTTTCAGTTATCCCAACAGAGGAAGAAATGCTTGGAGGCAGAAGGCACTCCACTGCAATTTGTGGATTGCTCCTATGAAATGCTGTATTTATTCATAGCAATTTCCACTTTCTATAGCTGTCATTTAGGACATCTAACTTTTGTGGTAGACATAAAGGGTCCTTCTAAATAAATGGTTTCTAGCACTACCAACTGGATGACACTGCACAGCTATGCTGTTTTTCTCTGAACAGATTCAAGTAGCAAAGAAAAACAGGAGGGTTACAAATGGAAGACATTGTCATCTGGACTTCCCATTAATGTCCGTGAAAGAAACAGGATGATTGCATACTAAAAGCTTTTCCTAAGTTCCCCAGAATGGTCTTTTTCTGGGCCCTTTTCCTTTGGCAAACTGATACTTTTTGGAAAAGAAAGGCCTTACAGGCAAAAAGGGTTTTGTGAAACGTTAGAGCTATTTCCACGGCACGTTTCATGTTCGCTGTGTTTGCTGGTGCAGTGATCGGACACAGCTCCCCTACCGCCTGCTTACATAGCGTTCGCCAATGAGCAAACACTGAGCGCAAATGCTGCTCGCACCTGAGGGGTGGGGCCGTCAATTTCATGCTAATGCGGGAGCTGGCTTTTCTGCATTTTTGCAACAAAGAGCATCCTGGGCAGAAATCAGTGAGCACAACAGAGGAAGCAGCCAGGACCCACAGCTTTGTTCTCAGAGATCTTTGAACACCTTCAATGTTCTGTGTGCACTTGAGAGAGGCTGGTTGACACGGCCACTTTGACCACATTTCACTATGGCTGATTCTAAAGGCAAGGGAGCTCCCAGTGCTAACAGCCAGAAGGTACCATGCCGCAATGCCACCCTTTTTCTGAAGATTTTCCGGGGTTGGAAAACACAGAAGCATTACAAGTGAACAAGAACATCACTTGCCCCCTCTGTAAAAGCTGATAAAGACATGCACATGGTGGGCATGTTGTGGGCGGAGCCAGCTGGAGCCGGGGGTCAGACTAGATGGCCCAGGAGGCCCCTTCTGACTCGCTCTGTTTCTATGTTTCTATGATTGATAAAGGCTTTGTGTGGAAGTAAGCTTTGTCAAAATTGAGAGACACATGCACAACCTGCCATTTTCCTTGTCTAACAAAAGACAGGCAAATTCTTGAGGCAGTGATGTGGTTCCCCAGCTGCTGAAGTGCACCTTCCATATTCCTTCATCACTGGATATACTTGCTAAGGTTGATGGGATTTGTGGTCCAACAATATGCAGAGGGCCACACATCGTCCTCTCCTGTCCTAATGGAAGACTAATTCCTACCTTTATCAATCATCTTCCAGGGCTAAGTCTTGGCAAACCCAAGCTCAGTTATATCTAAAAACACTACAATTAGAAAGGAACTATACTGCTTATATTCAATGAAGAAATCTGGGCGTTGTTGGTGCAGTTTTTTTAAACATCCATGCATATGCTTAGAACAATGAGGAGCAAATATCAGGTTAAGTTTGACTCAGGAAACTGTGAAACAATGCTTGCCCCTTGGGACTATTTCTGACATAAACAGTGCTGGGCATTTATTCTGAGCTATGGTTGTTTTTTTGAAGAAGAAAAAAATAGGGTGAGTATCTTTCTTCTCTGTTCCAAACTTCTGTTTCCTGCTAACATAACTGACACCTTCACTATCATGAACCACTCTGGTTTTCAGTGAATTTAGGGCTCAGATCTAATGAGAATAATTCTTGGAAAGAGAATTAGTTAAAATTATATATGCAAACTTGGAAAGGGCACATTGCTAATTAGAAGAAATGATATTCTGTAGAATCTGAACTCATGCTAGTGGGCAGGCAAAGAATGGCATCTGTTGGCACAATTACTTGTGTTCATTAAGTTGCCTACACAGTAAGTCAAAGAAAGGATTTGACCACCATCAGGATTCCTCCTTTGTCACTGTTAATGTCGTTAATAATGTTCCATGCCAGAATCTGACCTCAAGCCTATGCAACACCATTCAGACAATAGTAGTAATACAAATGGCTTTTTAAAGAAGTAAATTGCATTTGCTCAACCCACAAATGGGAGATAGATGAGCTTTAATCTATTTAAGCTTTGCCCTCACTGCATCACCACTCTGGACTGGGGTCCTAGAACTACTATTTCCATTGCAGGGGTTGGGAAAGCTCCCATTGCAATAAGGCTGAGGAAGACTTGCTTAGGTTGATGTCATCCAATGAGTTCAGGGCAGAGGTAAGATTCTAACCAGAGACTTCCTGATTCATAGTCTTGGATCTTTTTTTTAATTCCCAGTGGAAAAGAACATGGCATATGATAAATGAGGGTTAGGATTAGGGTTCAGCATACTAAAAAGCAGAGACATCACCCTGCCAACAAAAGTGCATATAGTCAAGGCTATGGTTTTCTCAGTTGCAACGTAAGGCTGTGAAAGCTGGATCATAAGGAAGGCTGAGCGCCAAAGGATTGAGGCCTTTGAACTGTGGTGCTGGAGGAGATTCCTGTGAGTCCCTTGGACTACAATGCAATCAAACTGGTCAGTCCTAGAGGAGATCAGCCCTGACTGCTCTTTAGAAGGCCAGATCCTGAAGATGAAACTCACATACTTTGGCCACCTAATGAGAAGTAAGGGCTCCCTGGAGAAGAGCCTAATGCTGGGAACAATAGATGGCAAAAGAAGAAGGGGACGGCAGAGGATGAGGTGGCTGGCTGGAGTCACTGAAGCAATTGGTGTGACCTTGGGTGGACTCCAGGGGATGGTGGAGCACAGGAAGGCCAGGAGGAATGTTGTCCATGGGGTTGCGATAGGTCGGACGCGACTTCGCAACTAACAACAACAACAAGGATTAGGGTTAGGTATTGGGACCACTGAGACCACTTCTTTGGGGTCCAAGCCAGAGTTGGGCAACTTCTAGTGGTCTGGTGGGTCACGTTGCC